ATGCACGTTCCAGCGCCGTGAAGGCTGCTGGGTTTAAACGCTCTGGCTCGTGTAAGACGGAAACGTCGGCGGTGGGGTGGGGCGTGAAGGCGCGCCTGAGGACGTCGGCGATCGTCTCGGTCACTGCGAAGGTGGACTTCGGCCCGTTGTTCGATGGACGCCTCGCAATGTAGTCTCCCGATGGTTGGCCCTCTCGCGCGGGGCAGGGTTGCTAGTCGGTTGTCGCCCGTCTCTCGTGAACGCTGTTGTTGGCCTCATCATTGGCAGGCCCTTCAGCGCAGCCATGCGATGCGTTGTCTCTGCCGCTGCAGGGGCCTTCTTTCACGCCTGCAGGGTGAAGGTCGCGGGGTAGCCACGGTTGATGTAGGTCTCCCACACCTTGTTTGCTCTCGCGGCCGCTAGGTGCTAGCTGAGTCCTTTCCCTGGGCTGTGCTGGTCTTGCGGTGCACTGTGGCACTGTTGATCATGGTCGTGGTGTTGGCCGTCGTGCGTTCACTGCGTCGCCCGTCGCTCCGTTGCCCTGATTGCGGGGCGCGCTTGGCATTGCGTGCCGTCGGAACGGCGCCGCGGCAGGTCCCCGTCGGTGAGCAGGGCCAAGTGGTCTGCCCCGCTGATTGCCTCCCCCGGATGTTGGTGGAAGTCGCTACTGTCCCGTTGCGGTGGGTCTCGTCGGTCTGGGTGCGTCGCGCGCGGTGGCGCGCCAGACTCACCGAGTTCGGCGTCATCCCTATGCGGTTCAACGCCGCTGCGTGGCCGACAGTGCGAGTCTGTTGAGACCCCGGCAACTTCGGCTTCATCGCCAGGCGTTGCCATGTCGTTGGGGGCGTTGGCCCCAGGGGTCACAGCGACGATGGCGTGGAGCTTGTCGGGGTCGGTGGTGGCCCTCCTCTCTCTTCGCGCGCGTGAGCTCCGCGTTGTCGGCGCCGGGTGTTTCCGAGATGGTGGCGCCGATGATCCTCTCCCAGGCGTGCCGATGAAGAATCTGTATGGGGCTTGCTGCTCGCGGCGCCATCTGCCCCGTCGAAGTGATGCAATCCTTTCTTTTCGTCGCAGGTGGCGGCGCGTCGATGTCGATGATCTTAGGGGCGTGGATGGGCGCTGGGCGCGGTCGGCTTGGCGGCGTGGATCCCGGCGTCGAAGTTGGTGGCGTTGGCCACTCCGCCGCGTCGGTCTGCTGGGGCTCTCCTGGTGGTGTAGCCGCCCTTCTCTGCGTCCTTGGCGGCGTGAACATGTGGTGCTGTCCCTGATGAGGCTCATCTGTTTGCGATGCGAGTACTTCGTGCACTTCGGCTTCTCGGAGCATGTCGTTGGACTGTGTCTGAATACCTCGTGTTCCTTCATCCTCCAGTAGATGCTCAATTTGAGGTGCGGTTGGAAATCCTGTAGCTGCCGCGGTTGCGAGGTCCTCATCGTCCGCGCCGATCGGTATGCCGCGAGCCTGGTCGATGGCGTCGACCGTCTCGACGCTGGCGAGGCGCTGCTGGGCGATGAGGTGATGAGAGCCGCCTGTCGGGCGTGCTGGAACTCCTCTGTAGCTTCTTCGGTCCTCTCCTCTTGGGCCTCCCTGCTCACTCTCCGCTGCGTCTCCCTGTGGCGATGTGCTTGTGCCTCGTGTTGGAAGGCCTCGCGTTGTGCTGCCGTGCTCATCTCAGCGCGCTGTGATGTGGACTGAACATGCCCTTCAGCCTGTACGTCTCTGTAGTTCACTCGCTGCTCATGCCTGCGCATGTCGGTGGCGACCCTTTGGAGGTAGCCTTCTTGCTGTCTGGTGTTCTCGGCGTCCATTTTACGCGAGTCGCGCTCGATGTTGGCGGATCTCTGCTGGCATTCCCTGTTGGTCATGTAGGTGGTGGCCTCCGTGCGCCTGTTTGCCCTAGTGGCTCTTCCTTCGCTTGTCGGTTTCTCTCTTCTGCGTCGCCCCATCTCGGCTGCGAGAGGTCATGTTGTAGTATTGTTGTTTTCTCCTGCGATCATCTCTACGCCTCGAAGAGTCGTCTCCATCTTGTCCCGCGTGAGGTTGCTGCCGGCGAGCTTCTTTTGCATGGCCTGGAGTTCCCTCTGCAGCTGGCTGTCGTCTGTTGTGTGCTGCTGATATCGCATATCTGTGGTCGACCCACTCATAGCCTCCAGCTCCTCCTCGGCCTTGTTGGGCTTCTCAGCGCTGATGATATGCATGTGCTCGCGCTGTGCAGCCATATTTGCTGTCACCTGCTTGGAACAATGTATCCCCATTTCTGTGCTCGTTTGTGGTTATTTTTGGATTTGGCCGCCTCGTGGTGGTGAATTTGTTCATGCCGCCGTGCAGCTTCTTCCGCTGCTTGGAGGCGTCTTTTGAAGTTGTTGATCTCGTCGCTGGCTTCAGCATTGTGTTTCCCAATGTCGTTTGCCATGCGCTGGTTATTTTCCGTCGAGACCCTGAGCATGTTGCCTAGGTCGAGGACCATCGTTTTGATGAAGGCGATATGCGTGACCACGTCGGTGGTAGGTAGTCCTGCTGCGCTGTCCTTGACGATGGCAGCTACTGCTCTCCGCTCCTCTGCATGTTTCATCTTCTTCCACTCGTCCCTCAGCTTGTGGTCGCTTGGGGGGGGCTTCCAGTCGTGACTCCTGACGGCATAGATTTTCCTCATGTGCAAGACGTTGTTGGTCGCATCGGTGATGTGATCGTTGTAGTTGCTGTTGTCGTTCTGGCCGTCGTCATTCTTCTTTTCCATGTCGAGATGGGCCTTGCTCTTTCCATTGTTGTTTTTGTCCTTGCCCTTCTGGTAATTGCTGGCGGGCTTTTGGTGGTCGTTCTCACCCTTGCCGTCCTGTTGGTTGCCTTTCCCGTTGAGGCTTTGGTTCCAAGATTTGTCCGGGAGTTTGTTGGGCCACTGGTCCATTCGGTCGTTTTTCTTCCAACGCGCGAGTCTTGCACCGATGGCTGATGTAGTGGGCCTCGGTGTCGTAGCTATGGGTCGCGGTCGGCTCGGTGCTGATCTCCATGGTGGTGGCGTAGTTCCCGATGCGCTCGCAATCGCATTCCATGACGTCGCCATTGTTTGAGCATGATTTGGATACCGAGGTGGCTGCTGGGCACTGTGGTGCGTAGCGAGGAGCTGGCGCGCTGTGTTGAGGTAGTGTTGGGTGTCGTGGTCAAGGAGTTCTCGTGCAACGGCGACTCGAAGCAGTTCTCGTGCTTGAGCTCGCTGTTCGCGTAGCCGACGGTGCCACGCCGGGTTTGCCGACGAAGTTGTGGTGTCCTGATGGGAAGAGAATGCAGCCGAAAAGGAAGGTCAAACATATGGTTTGGAAGTGGATGTACAAGTGAATGGTGATAGGACGGCTCTACAGTCGAGGCTGGCCCCCTAGGGCTGGCACAGTGCCGCGGGTTTCTGGGCCCGAGGCTCTGCTCCTCCTCCTCTTCCTCCTCCTCCTCCTCCTCCTCCTCCTCCTCCCCCTCCTCCTCTTCCTCCTCCTCCTCCTCTTCGTGCAGTGCCCAAGGTCACGTCGCTCGTTTCCTCCCGTCGTGGTCGCCCGCCACCGCGAAAGGCCCCGCACCCGCGGGGGCGCCGAACCGTGCCGCCTGCCCCCCCCCCCCCCCCCCAGCGGGGCTGCCAGGCCAGTGCTTACCAGTGCTGCCTGTCGGGCTCGGGCTCGGGCTGCTGCCCCAGGCTCGTGCGACGGCTCTCGGGCTCGGGCCCCGGCTCTTGCTCGAGACCTGGGCGCTGCCGATGGAAAACGGCGTCTTCGGCGCCCCGCGCTGGGGGGACAGGCGAAGACATCGATGCCGCTGCTCGCCGGACCTCTCCAGGGTGTGTGGGTGTGCTCTGGCAAGAACGCCTCTCGTGAAGTTCCCCCTGCCCCCTTCGCACTCTGCCCAACCACGGCGACAGCACAGCCGGAAGCCGACATAGCCGACAGCGAAACCAAAGCCGACCCACTTCGACAGGCCGTCAGCAGCCCAGAAGGGCGCGGCGACGCACCAAGGAAACAGCCACCGACAGAACCGAACCAACCGACCGCAGTTGGTCGCGACGCAGCCGAGCCGACCGAACTGAGGACACCCTTGATCCGTAACGGACAAGGAAGAGAATGAGGAGGAGGAGGAGGAGGAGGAGGAGGAGGAGGAGGAGAAGGGAGGAGGAGGAGGAGGAGGAGGAGGAGGAGGAGGAGGAGGAGGAGGAGGAGGAGGTGGTTGTGTGGTGAGTCCACCTGGCGCTGCCCGAGAGGATCAAGGGTCCCAGGAGAGACGGGTCGCAGGGCTTTGGGCTTGCCAGCGCTGAGCAGCTTTTCATCTACGCCACCCCACTTGGCGCATCGCGCCCCGCGATGCGCTGTTCTTTTCGCGCCCTCGCGCCGCCCTGGAAAAGGGTCGCCCCTCTAGTGTTCGCCAGCCCGAGCAGCGCTGCGCGAAGGGCGTTGCCTTGCGTTCCGAATCCTCTTGTTGGCGGTCGCTGGAGACATACAGAGAGCAGTGCGAGTCCGAAGGGGCGGAGGGGTCCAGGACCCGTTTTCCACCTCAGGCCCCCCTTCTTTGTCTCTCTCAGGTCGCCCCAGGAGTGCCTGCCGCAGCCGCCGACTGACGTGTCTTTGTTCATCAGGAGTGTGAATGTAATCCTCCTCCTCCTCCCTCCCCAACTCCTCCTCCCTCCTCCCTCCTCCCTGCTCCCTCCTCCCTTCTCCTCCTCCTCCCTCCTCCCCCTCCTCCTCCTCCTCCTCCTCCTCCACCTCCCTCTTCCTCCTCCTCCTCCTCCTCCTCCCCTCCTCCTCCTCCTCCTCCTCCTCCTCCTCCTCCTCTCTCCACCTCCTCCTTCTCCCTCCTCCTCCCTCCTCCTCCTCCCTCCTCCTCCTTCTCCTCCTCCTTTTCCTCCTCCCTCCTCCTCCTCGTTCTCCTCCTCCTCCTCCTCCTCCTCCTCCTCCTCCTCCTCCTCCTCCTCCTCCTCCTCCGCAGGGCCACCAGGCCCGTCCGCCGGAGCCTGCCATCCCGTCGAGAGCCGCCCGGCCTCCTCCCGCCCGGCCTCCGCGAGGGCAAACTCGGCCGCCGCGCTGGCGTGCACGGCGTCGCAGCAGGCGAAGAGACACGACTCTGCGGCGCCAACGGGCCTGGCGCGGAGGAAAGACGGAGGAGGCGGGGGAAGCAAAAGTGGAGGCCTCCCAGTGGAGGTCCGAGTCGATATCGCCGATGCATCGGCGATGCGATGCGGCTCGATACGGAAGCGGCTTTATCATTATCCGAGCCGACGACGCTGGTGTATCGCAGGCGTCGCCGATGCATCGCCGATGCATCGGCGATGTGGCGAGATCCTCCGACGCTACCAACTCGGGCCCCACCTGGGAGGCCTGGAAAAGGAGGGGGAGGGGGAACCCCTCGTCGGGAAAAACACCGACGGACGGCTTGTACCGATTTCGGCCTCTGGGAGTCGTCCGTACAAGGCCTCAAAATTTGGTCAAACAACGACTCAAGATGAAAGCCGGTTCTGGGGAAGGGGTCCAGGACCTCTGGGGGTCCACGTGATAAAAAGAACACGGCGTCGGAATTCTGGGGACAGCGCCAGAGGTAGCCAAAAGGTGATCCTGGGCCGATGTGCCCCTCGATTTTCGCGTCGTCTTGGAGCCTCTGCAGCACCTTGGGTCTCGTGAGGAATGTTCTGGGGACCGTGAAGCATCCCATGGAGGCGCTGGGGTCATCCTAGGCCAGGGGCACTTCTAACAACCTCTGGCACGGAGGGTGTTGGGATGGAGATCCAGGGCGGGAAGCCCTGAGAAAAAGAAGGACGGATGGGCTTCTCTCCTCCCTCCTCCTTCCCTCCTGTTCCCTCGCTCCTCTCCTCCCTCCTCCTCCTCCTCCTCCTCCTCCTCCTCCTTCTCCTCCTCCTTCTCCACCTCCTCCTCCTCCTCCTCCTCCTCCTCCTCCTCCTCCTCCTCCTCCTCCTCCTCCCCCTCCTCCTCCTGCTACACTTCTACACTGCTGCGAACCAAGTCGACCAATGACCCTACCTGGTCTAATAAAGACAGAAGCACAGGCCTCCCCAGGTTGTAGCAGACTCCTTGAGAGCTGACAAACGCCTGGGCGGAGGGGGCCGCAACAATCCCCTCGGGGGCTGTGAATCAGCGTGGCAGTGCCGCGGCTCTGTCACCGAAGCATCGCTCCCAGGAAGACGACCCCTCCAAAGCGTCCTCAGATCTTTGGGTGTGCGGTTACACGAACCGCGGAGCTTCTTCGCTCTCGTCGTGCTCACATACCCACGCCATCCACAGGAAACGACACGGAAACCCGACGGATCTGGGAGGGCGGTCCACAGGGAATGGGGGTACCTTTCCTCTCTGGCTTTGCATACCAGGCCAATAACCACTGTGGGAAGCTCAACGCATCTTGATTCCGCCAGCAACCTAGCCCCCGCTGTGGCACTGCTGGCACCTCCATTGTCGGCCGTCCAGGGAAAGGCCATGGGGCTTGGGCAACGACGATGTTACCCTGGCCCCCTTAGTCCTTGGAACGGTCCCGTGCAGGTCCTGGAGAGGCGGCCAACAAACCAGAACCTGGAGCATGTTCTCTACTACTGTTTTAAACAGCTTCCTGGCCCAAGCTATGAAATGATGAAACGACTTCATTCCTCTGCGTATCCATTCTGTCCCTCCTCTTTCTCCTCCTCGTTTCCCCTGCTGTTGCAATGCTGCTGGCCGCTACCAGTACAGGGCCTTGAGCTGCTCGCCGCGCCGCCCCGCTGAAAAAGCGCGCGCCCAGCCCTCCCTGGCGAGCTCTGCTGGGCATTCGGCCTCCCTGGAACTCTCGTGTCTGGATGGCTTTCGTTTGAGACACCCTCAAGTTGGTAGCAGAGCGCGTTGCGCTCCCTGGCCACTCCGCGCCGGTTGCCATGGCTACCGAAAGTTTCGCAGGGAGTGGTGTCAGAGCATGTCCCGCAGCTGGTCCTCAATAGAGCTGGGAGTCCTACGAGGACCTCAGCGCGTGGGTGCTGTCCACAGAGCGGAAGCAAAAACAGATCAGTCCACACATGAAGAGTAGAGGCTTTTCGTCCAACCTGTTCTTAAAAGACCAAGCCACACTCCTTGACATGGCTCGGTTGTCTACCGATCCAAAGAGCGAGACTGGAACGACTGGTCCCCTTGGCTTTAACGACTTGATGTCCTTACTGCAACAATAAAACGAAACCAAAGACGACGTGGCAAAGCTGTTTCGCTTCTCGTCTTGGCTACAGTACACCCAGAATGGTGGAAAGCTGCAGAATTACGTTCCCGAAAGCGTGCAACTCATCAGCGAATCTGTGGCCGACAAGTTTGTCAAGCTGGAAGAATTTGTCAAAGCACTCATCCTCATGGTGAACGCAGAACTGCTCCAGCACCAACTCAGCAACTTGAGTACGCGTCTGGACATGGATGCAGCCGCGACTGTTAGGAAAGCGCGCAATCCAGAAGGTGTTAAGAGACAACCTTTTTAGGACAACAGCGTCACGGACGGACTCACAGCAGACCTCTGGGACGAGGCTTAATGGCCCGACTCTCAAAGGTAAGAGCCGTCTTACTGCGACCAATTCTGGCAAGAATCCAACTGGGAAAACGCAGCCTACGGAAACAACACGGGGTGTCTGAGGTGCGGTGACCCCAGCCACTGGGTTTCGCAATGTCCACACCCACCAAACAACAATGCGAAAGTAAAGACAGTCTACACCCCCGGCCGGGGTTCAGGCAGAGGCTACCGAGGAGGAGCTGGGACGGAAACCCCTGGTAAGGGGAAGAAGGGGGCAATGCTTTCCACGCTGGTAAATTTAAAGGGAATCCCACGCGCAGAGAACCCCCAGTACCAAAAACAAAAACACATGCAAAGGGATAGCTGCACAGAAACCGTCGGGGAAAGCGACCTACGCATTCACAGCTGATGACTCCAGCTGGTGGATGGGGAGTGACGATTGGCTGGGATATCCTGAATTGAATTCTGGTCACGCCAGTGGCTACGAAAACCATTCCGACTCGGATGCCCAACTGGCTTGGCCATTCGTGGCGGAGCAGTCAGACGAGCCTGCTCCTGAGAACCGGCTGCCGCGACCACCGCGCGACCGGAGGCTACCGAGCCTACCGCCAGAGCAAGCACAGCAGCTACGCGCCTTCAGGGCGCAACTGCTCGACAACGTTCTTGCGCACCTCCGCTCCGCCCGGGAGCAGAGGTTGCCGGAAACGTCGCGTCCATCCCCCGACGCTGCAACTAGTGCGTCGTCCAGCTACGCCGCAGAGGCCGGACCGTCGAGCTCGGGCCTCCCGGCCGATGGAAGAGTGGTATCTGCAGAGGCGGAGCGGGCTGGACCGGCGAGCTTGGATTTCCTGGCCGCTGGAAGAGCCGCTCCGGCCGACCGCGGTTTGTCGTCCAGCGTTCCGTCGGGGCCGGCGTGCTTGGGCCTCCCAACTGCTGGAATGAATGGCTCGCGTAGCGTGCCCGTGAACATAGGCCCGTTCTGGGCAGCTCACTCCGAGGGGTATCCGCGCCGCCCAGTGCGCGTCAGCTGCTATGGCCAGGTGATCGCGCAGCACAAACGTAGGTCCCACGAGTGCGAGATCATGTGCTTCACGTGCGAGCCCGTCGACATTGTCGACCCGCTGCTCCGCGAGCCGTGCTGGTGCATGGGCCCGCAGAGAGACGACTGCGAAGACGAGCGATGCAACGACGACGGCTCCGACGAGGACGACAGCGACGGAGACGACGCAGACGACGAAGACCGAAGGGTCGCCGAAAGGCCGCTGGACAAAGCCGACGAAGACGGAACGAACGACAACGGCAACGACGTCAAAGACAACGACCCTAAAGAAGACAACCGTGTCACTTACGTCGCTGAAGTAATGATGCCGGAAAGCCTGCATGCGGATATCGCCGTCCACGAAACTATCGTCGAGACTGGCTGTTCTAAAGGTATGGTCTCTGAAGACCGTTATCAGCGGTTCAAACAACTCCTCGCCAAAGAGTTCCTCATCTGCGTGTGTTGGAAATCTCGTCTTCGACAGTGCATCGCTTTGCCGGAAGTGATACGAAAACGGCCACGAGTCTAGCAAACGTGCGTGTTCAAGCTCTCAACTCAAGAACCGACTTCGAGGTATTCAAAACAGGCACGGGTTCACGAACCACGCTTTTGTTGTTGTTGTCCAAACCACTGTTGAAGAATCTGCGTGACGTTGACGATTTCGATGGAGATGCGCTTTTTCTGAAATTGACACACCAGACAATGCTACTGAAGACTAGCCACGCTGGACACTATCTGCTTCCACTCCTCTCCGTACGCCCACAGGCACTACGCGCAGAACATTCTACGACCATGAAGCCCACCGACAAAGAAACAACGTATGAAACCATCGCGGTGCTATACAGCCCCGGGTCGTTCCATATCTTGATGCCGCCTCGTTTGTCCAAGCTGATGCACGACCTGCCCACCGAGGCAGGACTGAAGAATATCCACGATGCGTAGGACTACTCCTGTGTTGGGCCCCAGAACCGTGCCTGCAGTGAAAATGCCGAGAACATCGCAAACAACTGCAACATCGGTGATCCTTTTCGGGAGGCTGCTCCTCATCCCAAGACCTCCGGCATGAGCGCCAGATCTATCAACCAGATTGCTACAGAAGAGATCCTGCCAATGAGCGTCCTCTGGAGTTAGAGGCCTCATAGATGGGGTCGGGGTAGATGGGGTCGGAGGATCGCGCCGCACCGACGATACATCGGCGATGCATCGCCGACGTCGGCGATCTATCGGCAACGTCGACGTGAAGCAAATCGGGCCCACCATCGAACCGCATCGGCGATGTATCGACGATGCGGCGCAATCCTCCGACCCCATCTACTCCGACCCCATCTGGGAGGCCTAGAGGAGTCGCTTCTGGCTGAGGCTCGGTGGCGAGCTCGGCCCGGGTGGGCAGCCGGTCCGCGCCGCCCTCGTCCCAGCGGGCTGGCGGCAGCGGAAGCGGCGCGGGCCTGGCGAGGGTGCTCTGGCAGGGAGGCGGCGGCAAGCGGCAGCGAGCCAGCGTCCAGGCATTCGAGGGCTGTCGGTCTGGTTCTCCTCCTCCTCCTCGGCCTCTCCTCCTCCTCTCCTCCTCCTCCTCCGCCTCCTCCTCCTCCGCCTCCTTCTCCACCTCCTCCTCCTCATTCTCCTCCTCCTTCTCCTCCCTCACCCCCCGCCCCTTACTCCCTCCCTGCCTCCTATTCCTCCCTCTCTCCCTGCATTCCCTCCCTCCCTCCCTGCCTGCCTCCTCCTCCCTCTGCCCCGCCTCCTGCCCCTGGGCGCGAGGAGACGCGCGGGGCATCCCCCAGACACCCGATGCTTTGATGCTTCCCATGCTCGGCGTCGCGCTCAGGGGGTAAGTGAGAAAGAGCGGGCCTTCTCAGAAGGCTAACCGACGCTAGTCAACGCTAATCGACGCTCAACCGGCGCTTCCTCATCGATTACCAGACGCCAGGCGCACGCTGATGCACTCGAATGACGTAATTACGAGGACAAACAAGGCTCCCATGCTTTGCTTCCCAACGTGGGCGGCGAGCGAGGGGAGGGGGAAAAGAGAAGGAGAAGGCCTTCTCAGAAGGCTCGGAAGTCCCCCGGCCTTCTGAGAAGACTCCTAAGCCTTCCCCGAAGATGCAAGAAACCTCTCAGAAGGCCGGAGGCCTTCTGAGAAGCCCCGCCTCCTTTTGAGAAGTCTTCTCCTTCTCACTTCCACCCCTCGCACGCCGCCAAATGTGGCTTGGGGGTCATAACTCGGGTCTCCGGCGGGCGTCAGGCACGATCAGGGCACCCCAGGAACGCCCTCGGCGAGGCGCAGCTGCTGGCAAGTATCCCGAGGCTGGAAAACCGACGAGAACCGACGAAAACGTCCGAAAACCTCGAACTTTAATCCTTGAACCCGAAACGTCCCCCCCTCGCTCGCCGCCGACATACGGGGCCCCCAAAGTCCCGACCCTTTCGCCAGGGCCGGCTTTTCGTCCCGCGTCCTCCTGTGACGGCCCATTGGGCCCAGCGAGGGCACACCCCCGAGGCCGACAGTATCGGACAGAGCTCTCAGCCAAGATTCTTGTGCCACTACGCGAGGGGGTCTCTAAAGAAGAGGCAGATGCATAAACATACATGTTTGGAGCTTCGACACCAGCGCCGATGCCGAGTCTGGCCTCCCAGGACAGAAGAAGACAAACACGCCATATAAACATAAACGTTTGGAGCTCCACGCGGATTTCTTGGATCTGCGCGGGACCCCCCTTCCTGGCGCGAGGAGCGCACTGGGGGCGGCGCCAGGGGGCCCAGCCCCGAGCCAAGAAATCCGCGCAGAGCTTCAACAATTCATGGTTGTCCCGCTGCTTCCTCTTCGAAGTCTGGAGGAGCCAACACATCCAGTGACCCCCAGCTATGATGTCTGCCACTGCGCAAAGGTTTCTGGGGGAGAATTCCATTTCGTCCTCTTTCGTCTCGTCCTCTTTCGTTTCGCCCTCTCTCCTCTCGTCTTCCTTCCCTACGTCCGGCTCTCGAAGCGGACGAATCGAACAGGACGGATCAAAGCAGACGACATGAAACCCAGACGAGAGGAGGCGGAATCGTCCGGGGGAGCCACCCCTCATCCCGCCTCCTCCTCCTCCTCCTCCTCCTCCACCTCCTCCACCTCCTCCATCTCCTCCTCCTCCTCCTCCTCCTCCTCCTCCTCCTCCTCCTCCTCCTCCTCCTCCTCCTCCTCCTCCAGCGTTCCGCCCCCCCCGCACCCCCGCCTGTCCACGAGGCCGACGACCAGCTGCGGCAGGGCGTCCAGGGCCTCCGCCAGCGCTGCCACCGCGCCGCTGGAGGCGGGGCGCGGGCGCGGGCGCACCGCCCCCCTTAAGAGAGAGAGAGGCGGCGGCCCCACCCCCAGAGATGCGAGGCGGGCGGGAGGGAGGAGAAGCAGGAGGAGGAGGAGGAGGGAGAGGAGGAGGAGGAGGAGGAGGAGGAGGAGGAGGAGGAGGAGGAGGAGGAGGAGGAGAATGAGGAGAAGAGGGAGAAGGAGGGGGGTCAAGGGGACCGCATCGTAACGTGCAAGGGTGTCTTGTGTTTGACTTCTCACTGTTACAAAATCTGTGACGACATGGCATGGGGCGATTCATGGTCGCACCCTCTCTCGTCTTGTGCTGCTGCTGCTTGGGAAGGCAGGCTGTGTCACCATCGCAGCAGTGGCAAGGCAAAGGTGTGCAAGACATGCAGTGCACGTCGCCAGCGCGCAGAGAAGGAGAACAAGGACAACCGGGAGGGGGATGTGCAGGCCCCCCCCTCGGCAAGCGGGCATCCGGTCAGTGTGCAGCTGGAGAGCGTCCGCCAGTCGCCGCACGAGGTCGGCGCCAGCAGCCAGCTGCTTCCGGCATCCTCCACGGGCAGACCCCCCACAGGAGCTGGGGACACCGTGGGAAAAGGAGCAGTCTGAGGAGAAGATCGCGCAAGTGGAGATGACCTTGAAGGGTATTTCCCCCAGGCCCTCTACCACGTGGTGCGGAAAAGCATGAACGACGAGATTGCCGAGACCAAGAAGATGATCAATGCTTCGAAGCCTGTCGGCCTCCGCCTCGAGGGATGCAACCAGGCCCTCACCTGGGCCAACGAGCGGGCGGCCAAGGCGGCGATGATGGTCCACCAGGCCCTAAGCGCCAAAGACATGGCGGACAAGGACGTGGAGCGTCTCAAGACCGAGGTCGCCGGCATCGAGAGAGAGCTCCATGCCTCGACCAACGGATATTGCATCTCGCAGCTGCAGGAGGGCATGCAGAAGGTGATGCAGGAGATGATCGAGGGTGGTCGAGTACCGCCCGACGCCATCCAGCAGGCGCAGCAGCAGCTGCAGGGCCTCTTCGATGGCATTAGCGTGCTTGCGGCTCACTGCCAAGCCGCATTGGGACAGCCACAGCAGCCGCAGCACGCGCAGCTGGCCAGCCAACACCTTTGGGTGCAGACGCAGATCGTACCGACGCCAATGGCAGGATGGAACCCGATGCTGCTGCCGGCGACCTCCACGGTACCGATTGGAATGGTCCAGATGTGTCCGCCAGGCATGGTGGCCGCAGCTATGGGCAGCCAGGTACCGCTGCCACCGCGATTACCACACAGAGTTCCGAACTCGCCTCTGACAGCCCACCCTACTGCCCTACAGCAGTTGCAGCTTGGAGTATCTCAGGCGCATGCGGCGCAGGCTGGTATGCAAGCACCCCAGCCTGCCCAGATGGACACGACGGGGAACGGCGACGGTGGGGCCACGCTCTCGTGAGAGACGCACCCCCTGCTGAAGTGCCTCTCGCATGCGGGCCTGAACGCCGTGCGCAGTGGACAAGCAGGAGTCGCAGGATTCGAAGCCACGGGGCAACAGCCAACGTTGGAGCGTTGGACCTGCAAGCCGTGCGCGAGGCCGCCAACTCCGGCGGCGGCATGCTAGTTAGTGGCAATTTTCATAGGCTAGACCGGGAGTCTCCCCAAGCTGGGTTGCACGTCGAAGGGGTAGAGGAGGCGCGCATCCAGGAGAATATAGACGTGCAGAAATTGAATTATCATATTTTTTGGGTCTTCGGCCACAGCGGGCGGCAACCTCGGAGTGCAAGTTTTGATATCGAACGGTATCCAATACGAGGTGCTGGAGAAGCGGCTGGCCTCTCCTCGGCTGCTGCTGATCATCTTTCGGGTGCATGGACACAGTAGTGATTGGATCCGAGCTCGCCCCGATCGACACGAGCCCAGACACAGAAGAGTTTTACAACACCTTGGAACTCCACATCGTCGAGATCACCACGAGGTATCCGAATGCGTTTCTCCTGATCTCGGTAGACCTCAACGCTCGCCTTGGTGAGGTGGTCACGTGCCAGATTGGTGGCTACAGCCCCCATCCACAGAATTGCAATGGGACGAGGTTCCAGCACTTTGCGAACGAATTCAACATTGCCGCCATGAACACGTTCATCCAGAATGCCTCGGAGTGGACGCGTGTCGGCTCGCGGGGGCACAAGAACAGGATCAATTACATCTTGGGTAAGGCGGACCACAAGTTCTGTTTCGTCGATGGCCGTGTCGATCGATAGATCGTGTTCACCGAGTGCGAGCGTGAGGATCACTTCCTCCTCTTTCTCGACGTGGACCTCCCGAGGGACTCGCGCACCGATGGCGGGGCTGACATGCACCGCCCACGGAGAAATCCAGTTAGAAAGCTGTGCGCGGAGAAGCTGCGCGCCCTGGGACTACAGGAAGATGTCTGCACCCTGATGGACGCATACATGGAGCCGGAGGGTGACGACATCAGCGAACACGCAGAGGCTTTGCAAGAGCAACTTAAAGAAGGGCGATAAATCTTCGAGAAGGACCAGGATAGAGAGCCGAAGAAGCATTGGCTCTCGGATGCATCGTGGGAGCTTAGGCGTCAGAGAGATGCTGCGAAAGGTGCTATTCGCAGCGTTTTTGCCGGCGTCCGCCAGGATGATAAGCTGCGAGGTGCCATCGGCTCGTGGGCGGCTCGAGGCCCGCGTAAGAGTGCAGCCAAGCATTCAGACCTGGTACGGCGTGCAGCTCATATCGCACTCATCGCCGCTCTACGTGCGTGGGGTCTATCCAGTACTGCTTACGCCTGGGCTCCGAGCATGGTGACCAAGAGCGTTTGCATTGACAAGAATAACATGGTGGACGACCTAAACAATCAGGCTGAGCAGGCGGAACGTCTCGGTGACAGACGCAAGTTGTACAAGGTCGCCCAGAGCTCTGCCGGAGTCCAGCGAGGACAGATGAAGACTGTGAGGGGGGAAGACGGCAGCGTTACCACCAAAGACGCTGCGTACGCAAGATGTTTTACCCAGCACTTCGCGAACGTCCTGGGAGCTACACTCGCCGATGCCCCCGAGGTCGATGACCAGACCGGCGTGTAGGTCGCGGACATACTTGCGAAAGACCCCTCAACGACCGAGCGAGTGCTAGAAGCAATCCGACAGCTGAAGGACTTCAAGTCTGTCGGCATGGACGGGATCGAAGCCGAACTCCTGAAAGCGGGGGGCTGGCACGTGGCAGTTCGAATAGCACTTCTTGCCAAGGTGTGGGAATGCGCTCATTGGCCGACGTGCTGGCGCGGTGGGCGGCTCCAGGAATTGCCCAAGAGAGGTGACCGGACAAACGCGGGCAATTACCGAGGCCTGCTCATTGGCGATCCCATGGGCAAAGCGGCGACCAGCATCCTTTACGACGACGTGGAGGCGAACTACATGCAATTCATTCCTGAATGCCAATGCACTTCAGCCAAGCACAGCGGAAATGATTTGCAATGCCTCATTCGGTCTTTAGCCGACGACGCGGAGGCGAATGGGAAATCATTTGCAATCGTGCACATCGATTAAGTGAAGGCCTTCGACCGGGTCATGAGGGAGATTGTTTTTGGATGGTTCTCTGGCGGGCGTGGTGAGAAACAGGAAGAGAGGCTTCGATGCGGAGCCGACACTCTACGTAAGCTAGGTGCGAGAACAAAGTATGCGGCTGAGCTGGCCAACACAATCGAGCAGGAGCCCCTCTTCGAGAAGATCCGCGGGCACCCCCGCAGTGTCAAACTCATCAAATCTCTACACCTCGTTCATTTCTAATCGTGCTCATTTCTAATCGTGCTCGTCTCTAATTGTTCCTGGCCCCCTGGTGGCCAGGGAGAGGCCCAGGATAGAAGAAGTAGAAATGAAAGGATCTTGGCCCCCCCCCCCCCCAAAAAAAAAGCAGCAAAGAACTCTCGAAGAATCAGAAATGAACAATGTGTACATACCAACTCCTGGCTCAGAATGCGGGACTCGAGCGACGTCATCACGGTGAAAACGAGGCGGGCGCCTAGGGTGCCTATTCGGAGGCGTGATGTTCCGCCTGTCTCACGCCGGCGCTCTCCGCAGGGTGATGGAGAAAGCTGCGGCGAAGAGCAGTCCGGTTGTTTTTCGCTGCCAGAGGGGCGTAATCACAGCTTGCGACGACGACAAAGTTGACCAGGCCATCCTTTTCCACTTGCCTTTCGTTGCCGACGAGGCTACTGCGGTCACGGCGTCCTCCCCGAAGGAGCTCGCCAGGAAGCTCCGCGTCGTGATCGAGATTCTCCACGAGACTTTCGAACTTTACGGGATGACTATAAATTGGAAGCCCAGGAAGACCGAATTCATGGCCACGTGGCGCGGCAACGGAGCAGTGGCCGAGAGAACCGGAGCTGCGGACCGAACAGGCTTCCCAGCCATCTCTACCTCTATGAAGCGCACAAGGAAAAGGAAAAACTTGGCCTGGCGAAAGACCACACTATATGCAATTGTGGGTGCCGCAATTGTGAGTATCGTCTTCGGTGGAGCTCCCTATGGAGCCACGAGACGTGTGAGGGGTGTGCCGAAATGGGAGTGGAACCGCATGCGAACTTTGCCACTGGGGCCTTCGGTGGAGCTCCCTATGGGGCTACGAACCGTGTGAGTGGTGTGCCAAAATGGGGGTGGAACCGCATGCGAACATTGCCACTGAAACCTGTCGTGGAGCTCCCTATGGGGCCACGAAGCGTGTGAGGGGTGTGCCGAGATCGGGGTGGAACCGCATGCGAATTTTGAAACTGGGGCCTTCGGTGGAACTCCCTATGGGGTCACGAACCGTGTGAGGGGTGTGTCAAAATGGGGGTGGAACTGCATGCGAACTTTGCCACTGGGGCCTTCGGTGGAGCTCCCTATGGGGCCACGGTCCGTGTGAGGGATGTGCCGAAATGGGGGTGGAACCGCATGCGAACTTTGCCACTGGGGCCTTCGGTGGAGCTCCCTTATGGGGCCACGAACCGTGTGAGGGGTGTGCCAAAATGGGGGTGGAACCGCATGCGAACATTGTCACTGAAACCTTTCGTGGAGCTCCCTATGGGGCCACGAAGCGTGTGAGGGGTGTGCCGAGATGGGGGTGGAACCGCATGCGAATTTTGCCACTGGGGCCTTCGGTGGAGCTCCCTATGGGGCCACGAACCGTGTGAAGGGTGTGCCAAAATGGGGGTGGAACCGCATGCGAACTTTGCCACTGGGGCCTTCGGTGGAACTCCCTATGGGCTCACGAACCGTGTGAGGGGTGTGCCAAAATTGGGGTAGAACCACATGCGAACTTTGCCAATGCGGCCTTCGGTGGAGCTCCCTATGGGGCCACGAAGCGTGTGAGGAGTGTGCCAAAATTGAGGTGGAACCGCATGCGAACTTTGCCAATGCGGCCTTTGGTGGAGCTCCCTGCAGGGCCACAGAAGGAGGAGGGAGGAGGGGGAGGAGGAGGAGAGGAGGAGGAGGGACGCGGGGCGCTCTTCAAAACGAAGACCCAACACCACAGGATGGTTGGGAACAACCTCCAGAGAGCCAGTTCAAGGTCTGCCACGTGCAACAGTACAGGCACCTCGGTGGCATTAGTTCCTCAGGCTGGAGCCCTGTCCCCGACGTAAGGCTGCGAGAGGCGCAAGCCATGCGTGCGCACGGTGCGTCATCAAAGAGACCACTGAGGAACAAACTCCTCGGCCGCCAGAGACGTATCCGGGCTGCTTCGTCTATGGTGGTGTCGCGACTGACTTGCAGCACGCACGTCTGGTTAGAGGTGGAGAGGGGAAGCCTCAGAACATCCTGAACAGCATGTACATGCGAGTATGGCAACGCATTCTGGGAGACCAGAGGTATCAGAGAGCTACGCGCAGCGATGAACAAGTCAGAGCATTGCCTGACGCTGTCTCCTTGGATTGCCTGTTGCGGGTGAAGCGGCTTGCATATTTAGCTCGCTTGGCGAGGCACGGGCCAGCAGCGATCGTGGCCGTCCTCCATGCAAGCATGAAATTGGGGGGCAGACTCCCATGGGTCGCCACAACTACTCGTGATCTGGCGGTGCTTCAAGAGGCATGGCCGGACAAGTTGTCCAGACTACCTGCGCCAAGTGGACCTGAACGCATGGTGGAAGATGGCCGGTGGCTACCCGGCGGAGTGGAAAGCTTTGGTCAAATTGTACCAGGACCACAAAGACGATCCCCCGCAGCACCGAGTGAACACCATAGGTCAGAACAGCAATGCATTTCAATGCCCTCGTTGCTCCAAATGCTTCTGCACTGTGCAAAGATTGGCCGCTCACCAATGGACAGTCCACAATGCAAAGCTAAAGCTCCGTGCGCACGTCGGAGACATCAATGCATGTCCTGTCAGTGGCACGGACTTTTTCAGCAGAGCACGGCTTACAAAACACTTGTGCAAGACCAATGTCCGTAGCAGGATGCGACCCGTGTCATGCCGAGATGCGTTTTGCGCGAATTGTCAGCCCGCGTGCCATACGACACCTTGCAGGCGTGAGAAGCGCGTGACGCACAGCAGCTACAAGATGCTCGCAGACGTGGGTATTCCCACGTGCTGGTTGAAACACCAGCCAAACTGGCCAGACAACGATGAACGCGAGCGGATAGCGCTTGCTTATCGTCTCACCCATCTGCATAAACTTTCGGAGGCTTCATGTTTTGTACTGCAAAAAGGAATGATGAGGAGGAGGCGGAGGAGGAGGAGGAGGAGCTTTTCCATAATGGGCCCTCCGCCGGCCAAAACACACAGGACATCCCAGGGTATCCTCCAGCAGGATGCTCAAGAACATCCAGCAAGCACGAAAACATCAGGGTAGACCCTCCCACAACCAACCTCGATCTCATACCTCGGTCCGGCCGTACCGACAGTCGTCAGCAAGGTGGAAGCGAGTCCGACATCAGGGCACACTCCGCGAGGGCGGCGGTGCCGAGGCGCCTGCTCCGCCAAGACGAAGCCAGGACGAGGACAACATCGGGTGCGGATGCAGTCAACCCGTATCATCAGGGCGTACGATAAGGATGCGAGGGCCCTGGAAGGCCATGTCGACACTTTGCGAGCGGGGCGTGGCCAGTGAAAGCTGCCAAGGATGGACCGAAGAGGCAAGGACGCAAGGGGGTACCCTTGGGAAGGGTGCCCATCCTTGCTATGCAGGTTGACTGTATCCACCGCCTGGGAACCAACGTCCTGGTGCCCCAGTGGGCTGGGGAGATGGATATGTTTTGGCCCCCAGGGACCCGAGTATATCCATATCCACCGCCTGTGGAGGTCCGCGAAGTTCGATTCCCCAGGCGGTAGTCATGGATAAACTCCAGCATCGGAAAAGAGAGGCATCACAGCTTCCACACCGGAAGAAGCACCCTGGACTCTACATCCCCCCGCCTCTCTCGGGCGATCGGCATTTGATCCATGCATCTGCTCACACCCCGATCCCACAACGAGGGCCCAGAGCGGGGACATGGAAAGCATTCGTGCCTCCGAGGCCACGTACTCTTATCCACACCCTGCTGCACGCGGCGCCCAGTGGGGCAGCAGCGGGGTTGTGACATGGATCGAACGTCCATCGCCGACCTCTCGTCGTGAGAAATCGCCACGGGACGCTTCTGGCTCCCACGCCGGAAGAAGCACCAGGGATTCTACGGCAGGTTCGTGTCGTGCCGTCTTCGGCAGCGGTCTCTGACATTGCGGGGATCGTTCGACCTTGAACCATCGACCGTTTCCGAGGTCAGATGGTTCAACATCGACCGATTCTGTGTCGCCAGCGTTGAACGCTGGTGGCGGGGTCGACGCGGATCGACACGACGTGAACCTTCCGTACATTCGGGGTGAAAAGCCAACCCCGTCGAGGGGGGGTCCAGCCCTCTGGGGGTCCACGTGGTGAAGACAATCACGACGTCGGAGTTTGGAGATTTTTCGTCGTTGGCCCAAACTGATCAACTGACGGATCCAACCGGTTGTCCTTTCGTTGCCTGGGTGTTGCTGGAAGTGCCCCTGGCCCAAGGTACCCCCAGGATTCTCGGGGTGGCCCAGGCGGCCTCCAGAACAACCCTCACGAGGCCCAGAGGGTCCTAGGGGCTCCAAAATTGAGCGAAAAGCCAGGGGCACCTTGGGCCAGGGGCACTTCTAGCAACACCCGAGTTGCGTGGATGGACACCGAACTCATGCGCAGAAGCATGCTTCCCCCTCGCATCGCGAAAGGAATCGCGCCGGAACGCTTCTGGCAGCTGTCAGCCTCTGGCAGGCCCCGGCCAGGCCACGGGGCCAGTAAAGAATCACTCGGGGTGGAGAGCTGCTCCTGTGGGAGGGAGTGAGACCTCGTGTTTTTTGCATGCGTGCGGCGCGAAGGCGTCGCCCTTTCCAAAAAGGGCGGGGGGGGCTTTTCAGCAGGGGGCTCCTCAGAAATGCCCTGAGGCTCCCCCAAAGGGCTCCTTAGAAGCCGGGGTGGCTTCCTAGAAGCCCCCATGCCTTCTTCGAAGCCCCCCAGGTTTCTTTGAAAACCGCCCCCTCGCGCCACCCACTTTGAGCGCGCCGCCAGTCCCTGATACTCAAGAGCTCCAACAGCATGTATTCCTACACAAACATTCTCAGGCTGGCACCGCTCGAGGCCCCATCCCAACCGTCGCGCAAACTGGTGGCAGGCGCCACCAAGGCCCTGCCAACTGGGCAAGTGTAGCCCACTCCCAAAGCGGCGTGAGACCTACGGATCCCTGGTGTCTTATCCGGTGAGCCTCATTCCGCGTCTGCGCCATCGTCAAGAACGTTTTTTGGGGGTGGGTCCGATGCTCGGGGAGGCTAGGCGGTAACGAGCGAGCTTACCACGCGAGCCCCTGAGCGATGCGGTTCTGGTCGACGCACATGTCCTCGCACATATTGGAAACGCTCTGGAGTTCTGCGGGTTCGCCAGACTCCTGCGGCTTCGCCAGCTTGCCAGCCTCGACCCGGGAGATCATCTCCTTGAGCCCCTCCACCATGGTCATGTCGAAGCTGTGGTAGTCGCCCGACGTCTCCTTTTTCACCGATTGCGCGACGAGCCTGGAGTGGCGCTCGATGTTCAGGTTCTCCTTCTTGTTGCGGCAGTGCGCCCAGCGGGCGCTGAAGGGGTGGATCGCGAATGCGCCGTTGCAGATCATGCGCTGCCCACCCGAGTTGACGCGGCGCAGAGAGTCGCCGAAGAGGTGCTCGAAATTCACGTTGAACTCCTCGTGCGGGACCTTGAGAGGCAAGACGCTCGTCAGGCGCTGGCGGTTGATGATCAGGTAGCGCTGGCTGAGCATCCCAGGCCTCCTCGTCTTGCAGGTGTCCGAGCCAGCCTCGTCGAAGGCGCTGCACATTGTCGGTGGGTTCAGCGCTATCGCCGTTGGCTGAGTCGCAAAGACCTCGCGCGCCATCTCGATCATGCCCTTGTCCTTCCTGTAGACGACAATGTCCGGGTCGAGGAAGACGCACAGATCCACAGCCGCTTCCGCGGTCAAGCATGCCTCCAAGAAATTGAACATACCGTGCGTGTTCGAGGACATGTGCTGCCCGCTGATGTCCGACATGTCGTGCGCGTCCTCCAGGGTCTTGCACGAGTCGGTCTCGTTGCCTGTCTCAAAGAACTTCTGGAGGTATTTCGGAGAGTCGTACACGCTGTAATCAACTCTGCGCACGGTCGAGACCTTGCTCTTGCTCATGCTCTGCAGGATAGTCTCCTGGCGGTTCACGGGCTCCATCCAGGGCGGGCGGTTGTCGACGATGACGTGCTGGATGGTGTCGGGGTACTTGGACACCATGCGCACCTGGTGGGCGACCGTGACGTCCAGCGGCAGGTTGTCCTCGGGGAACGTCATGGTGCTCAGCAGCACCCTGCCGGTGCCAGGGGGCGCTCGCTCGCCGCCGCGGCCAGGGGCCGAACGCCGGCTCCAGGGCCAATCCTGCAGTTCCAGGGACGCGTCCTCGCCCTCTGCGGAGGCCTGTAAGCCACACGCGGGCGCGGCGATCGCGAGGCACAGGGCGGCGCCAGCACGCAGCGCGCTCACGGAGGCCATCGGCCCAGGTGCGCAGTATGCGGTGTCGGAAGACTCGGTGAGGTGCGGGCCCTCTTGGCGGTGACCAGTGCGCCTGGGCCAAAACGGCTTGAGCCAAAATGGCTACGGATCGTCAAAAGCGGCTTTTCTTCCGCCACGTAGGGGATCCGAGCCGCGCGTCCAAGCTTCATCTCTTCCACCCCAGAAACCTCCACCATCGCCCACCCTCTCAGGGTCAATGGCGAGTTGTGTGGTGGGGCATTGGCTTCCCCACCCTGGCCCTCCCTATTCCTCTTGACTGGTCCTCCTCTACCTCCTTCTGCTGCGTCAGACATGACACACACATCCCTTCCCTCCCCGCCATACACACCAAATGAGCAAACGCATCACCGCATGCCGCAATTGCACGACACACCACTGGTGAGGCGGGAAGGGAGATTGAGGTACATGAGGAGGCTTCAGAAACCAAGAGCTCAATTCACTCGGACCCACCAGACCACCACCATACGTGTTTGACGCGCTCGCGAACAACGTACACATGCGCGTTCACGTGTACGTGTGCGCAAGTGGGTATATGTGCACGGTTGGTGTGCATGTAAACGCTCGTCGATACACGAACAATGATGCTGGAGCGTCTGCGAAATCACACCTCGAAATCGCACACTCGCCAGCGCGAACGCGCACTCACGAGACAGTGCATGTAGAAAGCCTCAACTGGCACACAATCAGAACAACCACATAAACACACACACACACACTTTCGCAGGTCCGCGCGCGGAGTTCTTGTATCGGCGCTGCACAGAGGTCTCCCTGAAGCGCGGAGCGCGGCAGAGGCGGCGTCGGAGGCGCTGCCGGGGGGGGTCCAAGCGCCGATCCGAAAAAAACCCGTGCGGAGCTCCGAAAATATACGATCGCACAGTGCTTTCGATTGTCGACACCGGCAGTCCGCTCGCTCTCATTACCACGCCGCCCAATCTCCTGTCGCGCATGGCTGGCTGGCGGCGCGCCTTCCGGCCTCGCCGTCGGCTGGTGCAGCAGCTGAAGCCAAAGGCGTCCCGCCGATCACATCGCTCACGGCCCAGAGGAAGATCACCCTCACCTGACCAGCCTCGATCTGATCCCAATCCCTAAGACTGACAAGCCCAAATGCGATGACAGTCTTAGGGATGCACCCTCAGAAACTGAGGGAACCCTCAAGATCGGCACCGAGGTCAAGTGATGCCAAACATAGGGATCGGGATATGTCGCCGCGCCGTCTAATCTGAACACGCCCAAGTAAACGAAGCCAGTACCGTGGCAGACCTCGCGGCAAACCTTGCATCCGAAGCGGAATTTGCCGTGGTGCCCGCGGCCCCCTTCCAAAAGACGCAATGCCGCGCGTCGGAACCAAACGGCACGGCGACATCTGTTCCAGGCTGGCACTCACCTGGCGCGCCGGGCGCCGGGCCGCCCGCTGAAACGCTGGCCAGACGACTTCATCACTTACAGTTAAGACATCGGGATGTGCGAGAGTCGGTGAGCCTGCTCGCCGGCAGCCCGTGCAGGGCGCGCTCCGGCGCGCGCCGGCCTCCCGCTCCCGCTCCTCCCGCTCCCGCTCCCGCTCCTGGCGCGCTGCCCACGGGGGGAGGGCGGCCAAACGCCAGCCTAGGGGGGCGCAGGAGGGAGCACGCCGCGCTGCGCAGCGAGCCCGGCACCTGTCGGCCTCCTTGTGGCTGCCGCCCGTTCCCTCTCGCCCCGCTTCCCTCTCGCTCCGCTTCCCCTTCCTCTTCCACTGTTCGGGGCAGGGCGACGAGGGAGACGAGGACGAAGAGGGAGACGAGGACGACGACGAGAAGGCCGTCGTTCGATGAACACGGCGATAGCCACGACGAGGTCGACAAGTTCGACAAAGGATACCAAGACCAGCACTCCCCAGACCTCTCACAGGGCGCGTTCTGCCCACATCGGCGAAAACGAAGGGAGGGCAGTGGTAGCCGTAGCTCTTTTCCTACCCTCAGGTGCAACCCGAACGAGGATGAAGTGCTGGGGCCAAGCCAAAGAGAGAAGCCGAGATGGTGAGAGAGGTGGATGGCCGAAGGGCGTCCGAACCGAAGCGAAAAGGGGCGCGGCGGAGGGAACCAGGGGCAGCGCAAAGGGAAGGCGACCAAATGAGTTGGAGGCAAGGATGAGCGGACAAGTGACTACCTACCACAGCACCCAAACCCAACCCGAAGACCCGAATTTCGGGTGGGTGGGGTGGGGGGGGGCGGGTTCCATCTGTCCCCGACCCCCCTCTCCCCCACTGGAAAAGGAGGGCAAACTGGGGCCTTCGGGACTGCAGCGGATGCTCTGTGCTCCCCGCGCCCACCGGAAGGCGCAGCCGCTGCCACCACGGCCTCGGAGAGCGAGGGGCCCGTCCGCGCGGCAAGGGGGCCTGCGTGCACAAGTGGCTGCAAGGGCCGCGCTGGCACCCCGCCGAGCACACGAGTTGCACGAGGAGGACCCGAAGGAGATCACAAGGCATCGGCTACACGCACGAGGGACCCTGGGCAAGAGTGACCTCCGGTGCGCGGCCCTGGGGGGCCGCTGGGACGCAGAATCCGGGCGTGCAGGCCAGTGCTGGGGCGGACCCCTGTGGGCCCGCACCAAAGGTCACTCTGGCGAAGGGTCACTCTTACAGCGTAGCCGAGTGCACGGTGCACGGAAATCGCGCGAGGGGGGAGGAGTAGGAGTAGGAGTAGGAGTAGGAGTAGGAGGAGGAGGAGGAGGAGGAGGAGGAGGAGGAGGAGGAGGAGGAGGAGGAGGAGGAGGAGGAGGAGGAGGAGGAGGAGGAGGAGGACACACGGTCGGGAACTTTGGAGCAGCGCCGGGGCGGCCCCCGGCGACGGGCTGCGCCCTGCGAGCGGAGGGCGTGCAGGCCCCGCTCCGCGGGGCGGGAGGCCGGGAGGAGAGGCTCGGGATGCCTGCTTGCTTGGGAGCCGGGAAGCGGTTGGCGTGTCGCGCCGACGCGTGGGGGGCCAGAGCTGGCGGCGCGACACGCGAGGCCAGCATTCCCTGCCGCACGCGCCGCGGGGCCACCGTTTGCGCCGCTGCGCTCGCGCGCTCCACTTCTGCCGAGTGCTCGGGCGCCGCCGCAGAGCGCGGGAGAGAGAGGCCGTGCTAGAATGAGGCCGGTACGCATTGCATCGATGGCGCCTGAGGGCAATGCCGCGGGCCCTTGGTACACACGCGATGGCCTCCCCAGGGGCGCGGGCCCTTTGTACACGCGGTATGGCCTCCCCAGGGACGCCGTGGAGCTACTTCAATCGAAAAGCTTGGGATCCCATGATTCGACCCTGGAGTTTGTGAATTCACCGGGGCGCTCATGAATTCAACCGCATGCCCCAAATAATAAAGTATACCCGTCCTAACCCCTGAGAGTTGACCATCCCCGGCCAAGACAGAGTTGGGCGGGGGAAGAGCGCGGCGAGGCCGAACTTCACCATCGCCGGGAAAAGTACGAGTCGAAGTTGCGAACCTCCTATGTTGAGTAGCAACGCTATCACGAACGTGATTCTCACTATTTCAGCTGCCCTAACTGACGGACGTGTGGCAGGGCTATGGGATTCTCACCATGTCAGCTTTCCCCAGTCACGAGCGTATGGCAGGGCCATGGGGTTTTCATCAGTTCAGCTCGCAGCAAGGTCCCGCCAGAGCGAGCAGGGTATTGCTATACCATACTAACATCGCATCCTTGCCAACATACGTGCGAGTGTCTGGAACGAGAAATATATGTTGCCCGAAACCCCGAGCTTTCTTATCCCCCGGGTGTGATTATCAGGGGCACTCGGTTAACGATATGAAGATACCCTTGGCGCGCTCTGATGATCTCGCGGGAGGAGGCGAGAAGGCACATGGAGGAAATGGAGGGAGCAAGGAGAGAGCGCATGCAAGGAAAGGAGTGATGATAATACGGGAGGATAAGGAGGAAGGGTGAGGATGGACGGGTGAGGGGAAGAAGAAAGAGGAGGAGCAGGAGAGATATCAAAGACGCTTGCGGCGAGCCACCACCGCCCCCTGCCATTGAGAGGGGCCTACGTGCGCAAACGTTGTGGACACGCATGGCCCTTGCGGTCCAGAATCCATTGAAAAAACCTGTCGACTGTGACTGAATTCTAAAGACCTTCTTGGGTCGTCCAGGGGCTGTCTTGTGGCTCGTCGGGGGGGGCCTTTGGGGCCCTTTTAGGGCACCTTGGGCTCTCTGGAGCCGTCTTGGATCTCTGTCGGGATGTATTGGAGCCTTTTCGGACCTTCTTAGGCCTCTCAGGGCCATCTTGGAAGCCTCTTCGGGCTGTATTGGAGCCCTCTTGATGACCTGTCGGGCCGTCCTGTGCTCTCGTGGGTCGTTTGGATGCTCTTCTTCGGCGCCGTGGGGCCACCTGGGGACTCCCATGGGACAGTTTTTGAGCGGCCTGCGGGGATGTTGAGTGCCTCTTGGACCGCCTTGGACGCTCTGAAAGCTGAACGCTCGATCATGCATTCCAACAGCGCAACCAGTGCGCTGATGATGAAAACCACCAGCTTCCCCACTGAGGGGAAGACGACTCCACCATGCTCAGCACCAGCCACGAAGGGGAGGGAAGCAAAAGCAAGGAAGCCGAGGAGGGAGAGTGAGCGACGTGGTCGCCGAAAACGGCCGTGACGCGCGCGCCAGTTGCTTAACAAAGGTCCGAAACACTGAACATGCGGCGTCGTGAAAATCATTTCGCCCCATGTGGGAACTCAGCGATTGTGGACTCCGCAAGTGCCGCTGCGGCCTCCTGAAGGCTGCCCCTTCCATCCTGCGCCATTTCCTCTGCTCTCCTCCCCCTCCTCGTCCCCCCAGTGCCCCTGCCCCCCCTTTCCCCGAGCTCGTCTGGGCCATCTTGAACCGATCCTGGAGGTATCGAGGGCCGCCGTGGGCGCCTTTCGGCCTGAAGAGGCTCCGAAAGCTGGAGTCGAAAGGACAAAACCAACCCACCGAAACCAAACGCTTGTAACTCAAGCCAGCCCTTTGGGCTAAGGAGGTCTAGCGATATCTTTCTTTCCTCTTTCGAAGCCCTCATCCCTTCGGGGACGGGTACCCTGCCCCTCCCCTTCCTGATGTTCTTTTGAGGGGGTCGCGAGGTGTCAGGGGGTCCTTCCTCGCCCAAGATGGCTCCAAGAAGGCCGATGCTCCAAGATGGCCTCTAAGGCGGCTCAACAGAGCAGAATATGGTTCAAGATAGCGTCCGGCATACCTCCATGAGGCCCGACGAGAGCCACAAGCTGATTCCAGGTGCTCTCGGAGCCCCCATCAGGACCCTCCCGAGAGGCCAACATCTTTCAAACACCATCGGATAATCAATGGTTTTTGCATTCTCGCATGTTCGCTTCCGATGCGCTTTTGAGGCCTCAACATGGCCCCACGATGGAGTCCCAGGAGGGCCCCAGGAGGTTTTCCAGACGGCCCCAAGGGGGCCCAAGAGCTGCCCAAGATCGCCCCAGAAGGGCCCCAAGAGGCTATTCTGACGGCCCACGGTAGGGGAGGGTAATCTAAGGACCCCCCTCCTTTGGTCGACGCCCTACAAGATGGCCCCATGGGGCCTCACAGGGCTCCCAGGAAGGCCCCGAGAGAGCCCCAAGAGGGCCCCAAGAGGCCCAAGACGGCCCCAAGGCGGCCCCAAGAGCGCCAAAGAGCGTCCCAAAAGCGTCCCACGAGGGCCCCGAGAGGCGGTTTGCCTCCTCCTGCTGCTCCTCTTGCTGCTGCTCCTCCTCCTCCTCCTCCTCCTCCTCCTCCTCCTCCTACTCCTCTTCCTCCTGCTCCTCTTGCTGCTCCTCCTCCTCCTCCTCCTCCTCCTCCTCCTCCTCTTCCTCCTCCTCCTCCTCCTCCGCCTGCTCCTCCTCCTCCGCCTGCTCCTCCTCCTCCGCCCCTCGCCCCCGCCGCGGGCCCCAGAGAAGGCTCGAAGAGGCCCTCCCCCCTTGCTCCCAAAGCTCTCTCTGTTCATCCTGATTGCCCGCTCTGTTTCACTATATGTGGTTCTTCGTTCATTCCCCCGTGAACTCTCATGGGCAGCGTTTTTTTGAACGGGGTGGTGAGGATATTTTTTGGTTAGCGGGCGC